CACACGCACAAAACCTTAAAAAAAAAACAAAAATTAAAATTCCATGTTTTATTATTATTATTATTATTATTATTATTATTATTTTCGTAACGGAAATTTAATAGACAGGAAATATTTTAACCTTTAACCCCCCTTTTTATTTTATTTTTTTACTTAAAAGAAAACCGAAAAGTTTTTTTATTTATTTTATTTTATTTTTTTCTCTTTAAATTATTATTTATTATTATTATTATTATTATTATTATGGTTTTTAACCGTCTATGTAATTATTATTATTATTATTATTATTATTATTATTTTGGGGAGAAAAGGATAAAGAAAAAGGAAAAAATACGTAAAGGATTTTTTTTTTTTAAATAAAATTAAATGACGATATATACGTTTAATGATATTAACAGAGATTTTTATAAGGTATATGACGTCATAATTCATGGAGGAAAAAAAAATATGGAAGGTAATCAGACGCACACACGCACGCACACACACTCACAAACTCCTGGAATTTTTTTTTTCTTCGATTATTTGAGAATTTTCAAATTTTTTTTTTCTTTTATTATTTTCACATCGCGCTACGATTCAACACACAATATTTCATTTCCGGATTATCGATATCGACCAAACGTTTTCCATTTTTTTTTTTTTTTTCTTACTGTAAATCCATGTGTAAAATAATTTTTTTTCTTTTTTTTTTTTTTGTCTATTGGAAAAATTTAAATTTTAAATAAGAATTTAAATCGAATTCATTTTTTTTCTTTTTTTTTCGGGGGTGGGGGTGGGGACATCACAAATTTTAATAATATAGAGATTTTTATACTAAATTGGTTCGTTTTATTTTTTACTTCGTGGGTGTTCAAAAACTACTTCCGTTTCCTTTTTTTTTTCTCTCTCTCTCTCCCCCTCTCTCATGTATATTTATTTCATTTTGGATAACATCCAAAGAATTTAAAAATTATTTTATTTTATTCTATATTTATAGAATATATACGTTCGTGTGTAAAAAAAAGAAAAATTCTCTTATCTCCTTATTCTTAACGCGACAAAATTCCCTGCACGAGGAAAATTTGTCTTATTATCATCAATTTTTCTTTTCTTTTACGTTTTGAATTTTTTTTTTATCTTTGTTAATTTTTCTTGCTGCGGCCTAAATGAAAAAATTTTTTTTTAAAAACGAATTTGCGACAATTTTTTAAAAAAGTCGCCATTTTGAAAATAAAAACCGTTATAAAATCTTTTGATTATAAATTTTCAATTTTATATTTAATTTCTTACGTTTTTAATATCACGGTAAAAACTTTTCCACGTATTTCCACGTTTGTATTTTAAATTTTGTCACGTGATTTAGTAAACAATAGTAGTAATGATAATAATAATAATAATTTCTACGAATATTAATTTTTTTTTTTTTGGGATGATATCGCGAATGGATTTACGGTTAAAAAAAAAAAAAAAAAAAAAAAAAAAAAAATACTATAACAGCTGAACAAATTTAAAATTGTTTAATCAAAGGGAAAGGAAAGGAAAAAAATTTTTTTTTTTTTGTTATCTACGCAATATGTC